TGGTTATAGTTTAGCATAAAGCTCATGAACCCTGCCATGATTTTTAACAAAAAAGAGACAGAAAATAAGAGCTCTTCTGCATACCATGCAAACTTAAAGCCATCCTCTCATAAAAATATCAAATATACTTGTCAAGAACAGGTTAGAAAGCAAGTAGACATTATCACTAGCATCCTTCAATTTAAATAGAGAGCTTCACAGCATTAAGAAATAAAAAACATTTTAGTTTATTTGCAGCTGATGACATTTTTAATCATCATCAACCAAATTACAACCTTTTATAACAGCAGGTTTGGACAACTCAAGGACCCACCAAGGATTCTGGAAGAATGATGTTTACTACTGTTCACTTAGCATTAGGAAATCAAAACAGCACTAAAACTCAAGGGACCAGAAGGGCACTTACACCAGCATTGAAGAACCACACATAGAACCACCATGTAGGCAGAGCAGTCTGAATTACCCAGGGTAAAATACAAGAAAAACCAGCAGGGCAGGAATGAATAGGCTCAAGAGGTTTTTCATTTACCTAATTTTTTGGTAAGATTTTGTTTTCTTAATCAAAGAAATCTGTAAGTAACAACTCTCACAAACTAATTGTCACAGAAGAACTGTATTTGAGTAGAGGTGCTTAGAGAACTGCTCTGGGACCATTACCAGGTTTAAGCTGTACCTTGGGAAAACAAGCCACACACTGGGAAAAAAACACTGACTCTGAAAAAGGTATTAGGGTCGTAATGGACGAGGAACTGAAACATGAGATCCCAACTTAACACTTTGACAAATGTGATATCCACCTTGGAAGCAAAATCCAAAGAAAGCAGGGATTTTACCTGCATGTAGACCAATGAAAAAAACTGTAACAGGGTTTTATCTCCTTCTTAAAAGATTACAAATCTGTGAAGGGACTAAGGAAGACAGGCATAACACAGGATTTTAGGAAGTCAATCCATGCATTTCACTGAGAAATATTAAAAGCATTTAAATGCTTTCCAGCAAGAAAATATAAGATACTGACCTCTTTTGTAGAGCCATCCCCTCTTCTTTTCCCCTAAATGAAAGCTGAAGTCAAATTCTAGTCACAAGACAGACATGTACTTCAACACAGGGATTACTAGCTATTGAAATATAGTATCAAAAGAAAACATAATTAGATTTTATGCCCTTTTCAAGAGCCAATGCCTTTCTCTGGCATAAAAACCTTCACAGAAGGTCAGATTAGATGAAGGGTGTCAAATTCTAACCACTAACATAAAGCAGGAAGGAATCTGAATGTCCAGTCTCAGCTGATAAAGTGCTTTATGTAATTTCTGCCTTTATATTGAACAATGCAAAATTTTACACGTCAATTCACCCTCAGCACACTATTCACCCTCATCTTCCTTAGTTTGTCAGTGATCTGCAACTTGTAAAAGATTTCTTCCCACACAGATTTCCAGAAACTATTCTGCTATGCCAATTAAAGAGGTATTGCTGACACAAAATCAAAAGCTTATGACAAGCAATAGCCAAATATTAGACCTCTCTGTTCCACCACCAAAAAATATAAAAAAGTCGTGTCAGAATTTGACTAAGAAGTTTATATTCTTCATGATAATGAAGGGCAGCACAATTTTACAGCAGCACAATTTATCATTAGAGTTTATGAATTACAAGCCAATTTCTATATTTGCTATTTTTCCACAGTTCCTTTTAAAGTACTAGTAGTAATATTGCAAATTTGGGATATCTTGTTTTAAGTCACAGAGATTCACGAGTATCATTTCCTCCGCTACTAAAAATCTTCAGTGGAATTATTCCCTTCCATTTCACTGCAGCCCATTAGAACCTAAAGGCCAAGAAAGAACGTGGCACATGAAAGCTTCCACCAGGGCAAACAAACCTCAGCTCGACACAAAAATATAATTTCAATGTTTATCTACTTGAAATATATCACCTGCTACTGACATAATTAGGTAGCTATTAAAATGCTTACCTTATTGTTTCTTCCTCTTTCAATGTTTAAGGACATTATTAATGAACCTACTCTAAGTCCTGAAAATAAAGCTAGTCCACTTCAAGAAGCTGCTCTCTATGTTTACAAAATTTTCTTCCTACAGACTGTCAACCAAGTCACTGGGGGTTGTTCCACTTACAGAAATAGCTGGTTAATGATTTTCTGAAGATATTTCCAACAAAACAATGCCAGAGACAGAAAATTCAGCATGCACATTTGGAAAAGAAAAATAAGAAATGATCTTAAGGTTTCTGGTTACTATTCTATCAACTACAGTTTAAGACTGGAATTAAACTGTCGTGCTCTTCAGCTGTAGACAACAAGACACATATTTAGAATAAAGACAGATATTCCAAATCATAGAATCACAGAATCAGCCGGGTTGGAAGGGACCTCTGAGCTCATCAAGTTCAACCCTTGATCCAACACCACCATGGTTACTAGACCATGGCACTAAGTGCCACATCCAATCTCATCTTAAAAACCTCCAGGGACGGAGAATCCACCACTTCCCTGGGCAGCCCATTCGAATGCCTGATTACCCTCTCTGTAAAGAATTTCTTCCTAATATCTAACCTAAACCTCTCCTGGCAGAGCTTAAGACCATGCCCTCTTGTCTTACTGATAGCTGCCTGGGAGAAGAGACCAACCCCCACCTGGCTACAACCTCCTTTCAGGGAGTTGTAGAGAGTGATGAGGTCTCCCCTGAGCCTCCTCTTCTCCAGGCTGAACAACCCCAGCTCCCTCAGCCTCTCCTCATAGGACTTGTGTTCGAGTCCCTTCACCAGCCTTGCTGCTCTTCTCTGGACCTGCTCCAGCACCTCAATATCCTTCCTGAACTGAGGGGCCCAGAACTGGACACAGTACTCCAGGTGTGGCCTCACCAGCACTGAGTACAGGGGAAGAATCGTTTCCCTGGACCTCTTGGTCACACTGTTCCTGATCCAGGCCAGGATGCCATTGGCCTTCTTGGCCACCTGACACACTGCTGGCTCATGTTCAGCTTCCTGTCAATCCAAACTCCCAGGTCCCTTTCTGCCTGGCCACTCTCCAGCCATTCTGTGCCCAGCCTGTAGCGCTGCAGGGGGTTGTTGTGGCCAAAGTGCAGGACCCGGCACTTGGCCTTGTGGAACCTCATCTTGTTGGAATCAGCCCAACTCTCCAGCCTGTCCAGGCCCCTCTGCAATGACCACATATCAAGTGCTGGGGCAGCATGAGTACTTGTGAAATTCATCATGTTAACAAAGCTGCTATGGTTCTGTATTTCTAAGTTTTCCAACCACAGGCTTAAACAAGAGATACTGCTTACCACCTACATTCTGTGGCTGGATTTTTAGATGATTTCAATTTAATGCTCTTCTTATGAGCAGAAGGTGTCAATTTAGTTTGTTCCAGGCTTCCACTGAAAAAAATAGTATTATTTTAAAAGTCTGCTTTGAAAAAAAGCATCTCACCCAACCTGCTCCTCTCCAGAAACTTAAAAGTGAAGAGAGAATACACAACCAATTTCTTATTCCACCCAGTGAATAATGAAGGTCTTTAATAAGTAATATAAACACACAGACTCATATGCTTATCACTTCATACTAACTTGGAAGAACAGAGTTAATGACCTAAAGAATTTTCAGAGTAAATGACTATGGCATATTTCTGCAGTTCTGCAACATGTGTTTACAGCCATTTAAATACAAATGTGTTTGCAGGATTGGAGCACAGAGAGAACACGTTAATTGATGAAACCAGATGTTAATGACACAGACAGGTCCTCACACTGACGGAGCCGTATCTGTGACGTCAGTCCTGACAGCATTCAGCACTCTCTGACTCTGCCACTGGGTAAAACGAATGGGAGGAATGAGAGCAGCAGGGAAAGTTCTTTGCAAACTGTGTCCTGTATTTATTCAATACGAATTATTAGCACCACATATATTTCTGATTCTAAACCCAGTATGAGCCTTTTGGAGCCATGTCAACTATTTGTCCTTAGCAATCCAATTTCATGGATTCAGACACATTGCATGATCCATCTTGCAAAATCTACCACAGCATAGAAATATGCACTTTTTTTAGTAAAACCCAGTAGTGTACCCCAAGGCATGGGACAAAAATATCAATATATTTAAATAAAAACATTTACTGTATTAGGAAAAAAGCTAGAATCAAATCTATAGTACCTACAGCTTTCCATTAATAAAAAAAATTATTATTTTTCCACAAAAAACATTAATATCTCTCAAGTAGAAGAGTGGTCAAAATCCCAAGACAATTATATAGCTAGTAATTTTTAAACAGAATATGATTTTACCCAACACTGGAATTGAACAGTGATAGTCTCTTGAGCAAATCAGTATTTTGATACATATTATAGGTATTTTTATACTGCCCCAGGTAGTTAGTGAACCACTAGGAAGTTTTTACAGTAACATTCTAGTGGATCAAATAATACAAATATTCTGTTAATCATTAAATCCTTAAATGTCCAATAGCAAACACTGAATTTAACACTCGATCTCCACTGGATTCAAGCCAATTACTAAAAATAACTCTAACTAGCTGTCTCTCTATGATCTGTTATCTGTCTGCTCCTTTCCAAAAGTGGTTCCTGCAGCACCATGAGGTGAGGCTTGGTGATTATGGCCAAGAAAGGAACATAGATCACCTGAACTATTAAGCCTACAGGCCACTGCAGCAGAGCAGACTATGGAAGAGTCTGTGATTACCAAAACCACATACTATTCTGACTCTTCTCTCTAACTGACATTTAAATACCTGCCATGTGTTTTTTTATTTATTTTTGCTCCCTTTTTTTTTTCCTCATGGAGAAGGCTTGTGAGTAATACTTTGAAATTAGAGTGCTAAGTTAAGAACACTCTTATAGACATCATTTTATAATTTCTGTGTATGTAAAGAGATGATATGGTAACTAGGAGGTGGAAAACAAAGGATGTTTACAGCACTTGAACAAATGAACTAGCTTCCATATAATCAACAGAACACGAAAATGTGAAATCAATGTTGATTTATAATTGCAAAAATAAAGTCCTACACATACAAGGAATATAAACAGTCTTTGATCACAGAACAGTTGCTTAAGACAGAATTAAATAATCAACATGCACTCATTCACTGAAGTCATCACTTTTACAAACAGTTAAGTGTTGCATGCATCTGTTCAGACTAAATGTAAATCAGACACTTGGCTATAAGCTTCAGCCAAGAAGTTACTATGACTCTCACTATCTTCCAATCTTGTTTCTAATCACCTTGTCTGAAGTTATTTGAGTTGCCACTTGTAAAAGTTACACTACCATTTATTTCTTAAAGGCTTCTAAAAGGCAGGGAATGACACAGAGATACTGAAAGAAGAAAAAAAATATTCCTTTGGGAAAAAAGGTCTTAATCAGAACCAGTTAATATTGACCACTGTCACAGTTTAAGCACTGTTACCCCCACAGATCCTACTTCCTTACCAGTGTGGGAATGAAAAACATCACAACTCCCATCTATTAGTGCAAATTTACTGGGCAGCAAACCTACTGGAGAGGAAGCAACTTGCACACACATTTTACAACCGTGGTCAACTCTTCATCTCTGAAAACAGTTCTATCCTGAGGTATCCTCTGGGATACCAGTCTGCTAAGAAAACTCTTCCTCAACACATCAAGTGAACTCCCAGTTCTATACCTTCTATTATTGTAAAAGCAAAACATGACCAGAATTCACAGTAAGGTCACAGAAGACAACTTCACTTCAAAACAGAATGATAAATTCTGCAGCTTATTCTGGATTTCACATATTTTATTTCAAGTACATGACAAGTACCCATTTTGGCCAGAACTTGCAGCTTTAGGCTTGTCTTCTTTTTAACATTTAAATGCACATCCAGGTCAATCTATAAGAATACTCAGGAGCAGGTACCTTCCACGAAAACACTGCATGAAAGAATATAGCAGGTACAATCTTCTTACTTTAGTCTCTCTTTTTTGTAAAGTGCTGATGAACCCTGAATTCCCATGGCTAGGTCTCTTGATGAAGACTTCAGTATCCCTTCCTTCCTCTGAATCTTGCCCTGGTATCCAACTGAAAATTGAAGTCAATATATTAAAAGCCGGTATTTTGCAAAAGAAATATTTTAGAGTGCTTGTGCTACCTTGGCACTTAGTAACATCAGAACAAAGGCCAGAATAAAGCAGAAGGCACTGTAAAGAAAACTAGTGATATAGCCAACAAGCCATAGGGTGGTTCTGATGAAAGAGACGTTATATTATCTGAAATCTCACACAAAATTAAAATTCTGTGATAAGCATCCTGTGCATTCTGAAATAAACAGTGGAACAACACAGATGACAAGAGCAGTATAGTAGGATGTCAAAGAACACACAAAAACAAGATAGTGTAAGTCTGCTTAAATCAGTTTTTCCAAATGTAACTGATAACCTGAAGGAGGGAAATTCAGATTTGGTTGAAGTGGGAGTCACTGCAAATGTCCATGAGGAGAGGGATAACTTAAATACAAGAAGTTTGTGGAAAAAATAGAAATAAATCAGTAAAAATTGAAATAATATTCAGCTTCTAAAATGTACAAGTTTATTCTTGGCAGTTACAAAAAAAGATTTAACGGAAGGCTAAAGATGACAGTAAAGCTAAAATAAAAGGTACACTGCAGTACTTACAGAAGCTAAATTGCAATTTCTTTCCCAGTGCAGCAGAAAAATATACTTTGATCTTGGGAGAATTCTTCTGAATTTAGATAGTCTTGAAGATGGCAGCGACAGATTGCAACTCAGCCATATTCAGATATTAGACTGAGGAGGTTTCTTTTATCTCCATTAACTAACCCTCTTCCATGATTCAAAACTATGGGGAGGATCCCAGTAAAATTTGTAAAGAGCTCGACTACATGATGACATAGTTTATCCACTAACCTAGCAGCTTCCACTTTAAATCCTGTTCCTACTTAAATGTCTAAAGTTTACTGAAGCTTACTCTACCAATAAGACATTCTATTTCCTCACAAAGCAAACAGTATCTAGGCAAAATCCCTAATCATTTTAGAATACTGTAAATTATATTTGCATCTAGTGTCTAACTTGGTTTTGGACACTCTTTAATCCTCACTATTGTAACAAGTAAAAAATTTGGCAGGGCACAATTATTGAAATTCTCAGAATTAACAGGACAAGAAAAACATCACTCACCAGCCTTAGAATTTGGGACAATTAAATAGAATCATCTAAGAGCCAGGCTTCTTCCCACATGACTGGATACATTTAGGTTGCAATTTAAGTTTCATCAGGCTGCCTTAACAATCCAGACAAAAATATAGGCACATCACCTGTATATGTTGCTACTGCAGCATCATATAAGTATTTCAAACATTTAATACACAGCATTTTTCCTGTCTGCAGAAATAAGAATTTGTGACTGTATGGATTAATATGGTTCATATAGGAGAGGTACAAAAAGCTGGAATGACTACTACAGAATGGAAGAAAAATTTTAGGTACCATTTCAGCTGTGCGCTTTTCATTATGTACCACATCAGCTAAAAATAAAAATCAGCCCTGCACAACTCATGTTTTGATACCATCATTATAATATCCTAACTATTTTTTAAATATCATGGAAACACAGGCAAGACATTTCTGGACATGGAACTCCTATCAAAATACGGGAAACTTTATCTAATTACATTTTTGTCAGTATCATATGGGATAGTTTGCTATATAAAAAACCCAAACTGTTAGTTATCATGAATTCAAGTACTCCGAGAAAATTAATGACTCAATGTGAATTCAATGCAAGATCCTGATTCAACAGTGAAAGTCTCATTTAATTTCATTTCAGTGTTCTCTATACAGATTCTCTTTGGATGACCTTGCAGACAAAAAATGTCTTGTCAATATTTTATCTTACAATTACCTGATCTAGAATTTTTTTAAATCAAAACTTTACTAAAAACAATAGTAAGAATACCTACCTCACTACCTCTGACATTCTAAGCCTAATTCAATATAAACACATTTTTACAGTTTTTCATACTCTACTTTTTCTTCATGAGAACAATCAGGGTTTGTCTACATACGAACATCCATATTTTAAATGGGATTGGAAGGCAGGAGCTGTTCTGCTAAATGACACCAGCTTTACTGAATTAAAATGGTTTTCTTAAAAAAAGTGGGAAAAGGACAGAAAGCATCCAGGCCACTGTCACCAGACACGCCACACTTACCATTGATCTTTTGCATGCAAAGAATGTCACTTGCAAACTCCTACAGTGTCCTTCCCTCAAGCATTGTTTAGGGCTTTTGTTTTCCTAGTAGATGAAAAATAAAGGATTAAAAGCTTGATTTGTGCAGCTCGTCAGAGAAACACCAAAACACTTCCTAGAATCATAGAGTGGTTTGGGTTGGAAGGGGACCTTGCAGGTCACCTAGTTCCAACTTCATACAAGGTTTACTGGGGATTTCGCCCTCGCTACGATGACCTGCGCTTTCCCCTGGAGCTGTAATTCCCTGAGGTGCTGCACACAGGAGCGAGCAGGCCGGGAAGGGGCGGCTTGCAGGCGGCAGCGCTCACCTGCAGCACGCAGGGGCTCTCCAGCAGGCACTGCCGCAGGTCCTCCCGCACGCCGCTGCAGGCGCGCTCGTCCTCCTCCTTGTCCTCGTAGTACTTGGGCATGGCGGCGAGCCCAGCCCTACGCGCCGCTACCGCTCCCGCCCGCCCCGGCGGCACCTCCGGCGGCACCTCCGGCGGCCTCCGGCATCCCGGGCGCTGCGGCCGCTTCCGGCGGGGGCAGGAAGGGACGGGGCGGTGCCGGGGAGGATCCCGGGCGCCTGCGCCGCGGACGGTGCCGGAAGGCTGCGGGAGGCGGCGGCGGCGGTGCCGGGCGGGGTCGCGGCGCGGGCCGGGGCAGCAGGTGAGCTCCCCCTTCCCCATCCCCGGCGCGCAGCGGAGCTCAGGGACGTTCGGCGCCTCCCGGCCCGGAGCGGAGCGCGGGTCCCGCTGAGGGGGGGGCGGGTGTTCGTCAGCAGCGCCGGCCGGGCCGCCCCTAAATCTTAGAAACGTGCAGTGTTACGGGTTGGAAGGGACTTTAAAGATCATCTAGTGCCAACCCCCCCGCCATGGGCAGGGACACCTTCCACTAGACCGGGTTGCTCAGAGCTCCATCCATCCTGGCCTTGAACGCCTCCAGGGTTGGGGGCATCCACAACCTCCCTTGGCAGCCTGTTCCAGTGCCTCACCACCCTCAGAGTAAAGAATTTCTTCTTAATATATAACCTAAATTCCCTCTCTTTCAGTTTGTACCCATTACTCCTTGTGCTATCGCTACAGTTCCTGCTGAAGAGTCCCTCTCTAGCTTATCTGTTTTCCCCCCTTCAGATACTGGAAGGTTGCTATGAGGTCTCCACACAACCTTCTCTTCTCTAGGCTGAAGAGCCCCAGCTTTCTCAGCCTGTCTTCATAGGGGAGATGCTCCAGCCCTCTGTCACTTCGTGGCCTCCTCTGGACTTGCTCCAACAATTGTCATTGTTTATACTTGTGCTCAGTTTTTGTCACTTCAGCATTGCAGGCACGGCCTGCATCACGTGATTTTATTTGTAGCCCTCACTATATGCAAAACCAAACACATCTTTTGAAATTCTTTCTTTAGCAAGATGCTGCCAACCACCTTGGTTAGTTCTCGGAGCCAGGGCAATGGTGTGCTGAGCCCCAGGGATGCTGCAAGGCACACGGCCGGAGCGAAACGCTACAAGTACCTGAGGAGGCTCTTCCACTTCCGACAGATGGATTTTGAGTTTGCGCTTTGGCAGATGCTTTATTTGTTCACTTCACCACAGAGGGTTTACAGGAACTTTCACTACAGAAAACAGACAAAGGACCAATGGGCGAGAGATGATCCTGCTTTCCTAGTACTGCTTAGTATCTGGCTCTGTGGTGAGTGCAGGACAACAGACAGCGTAAGGGAGAGGGAGGGAAAGTTTAGGGATAAATATTCATTTTCCTTCCAATAACATGCAAAAAAGAGACCACTCCATATGTATCATCTTTTAGTCAAAGTAGAATAGAGGAAAAGGGCCCAACCTTTTGGAAGTTAAGATAGGAATTAGAAAATGGAATAGGCATAACTAAAACTGTTTAGTCTTGAATTGATCTCTATTGCAACTCAATTTCTGTTGCATTTCAAGCTATGCAGTTCCCTGTAACTTTACAGACAGTAATAAAACCCCATACCACACAGTAGTGCTTTACTTAAAAAATACTGAATATTTAGATTACCTGAACATTATGGATAAAATACTGTTTTTACCATAAAGGCCCAAGTGAGATTCTGTATATTGTACAATTAAGCTATAAACAAAGCGGCTCATCTAAGTGACTGAACTGCAATTTCAGTAAGTATTATCCCAGTTGTCTTCTGTTAAATAGCATATTGCTATTTGCAATAGCAAAAATATTTCATATAACTTTGAAATAAAAGTATATATCTCCCGACATGTGGTTTGTGTTCACAAGGAGCTTTTCTAAAACAATGTTCTATTTTAGCATTGTGTGAATTCCTTTAAAAATAGTTTTGAGTGGAGCAATACAATTAAGCCTAAGTACAGACAAGTGTTCAGTCTGTGAGAGGGATTATATTATGAGTAAATTACATTATATATAGGTAAATTACATTATATATATGAGCTGTTGGACTAAAAATCTTAGGGGGAAAAAATAAAAAGGAAAGTGGAGATTTCATAACAGTATATTCAAAGAAACCCCATCAGTTTAAGATCTCATGCTTTCTTTTCTGCGGCTGACTTTAATAATCTTTTTCTGCTTTCAGTGTCTACTGTAGGATTTGGATTTGTGCTGGACATGGGGTTTTTTGAAACAATAAAGCTGCTACTTTGGGTTGTATTCATAGACTGCGTTGGCGTTGGCCTCCTGATTGCAACTCTGATGTGGTAAGTAGTGATTTCTGAAACTGAGTTCGGTATTGCTATTCAGACCTGGAGAATCCTGTGCTGTTTGCAAGACACTTGGTTCTTTGTTTAGGGTAAACTTATTAAGCAAGTATTGCCTGTAAGTTTTGTGCTGTTGTAGTAATTGTTTCCAAATGTTGCAATAAAAAAGAACACATCTTTTTCTTCACTATTTCTTGCAAAAGATAAAAAAAAATCAGGAAGTGTGTATTATGGTAAACATTCCAGCTTCTTTTCTTTCTTTTTGAGCTGGTTAATAGTCAGCAGTAATGCCAAATCAAAAATGTGTTCAAAAAACCCCAAACTGTTCAATCAGAATAATGAATGAAAAAATTAAGCAATGTAAGACTGAGGATGATTCTCTTTAAGCCCACGCTCCTTGCTGAAGATTTTAGCAAGTGCCACGACAAGCCACATCTGTTCTGTCTCACATGTGGCAGCTTCGCTGCTTTGGTGCTATTCACTGCTGGTTTTATCCTCTAGTGTGCAGGGACTTGCAGAAGTGGAGAGGCAGGAGCAGGTCAGCTTACAATCCAGGCCTCAGCACCGTGGATGTGTCCTGCAGCCATGAGGGAGCCATGAAACAATGGGAAGCTGCTGTTTCTGTGCTGCGGCAAAGGGAGGGCACCAAAGAAAGTATTTTTATTTTACCAAGAACTTAAGAAAGTAAAAGCATTTAGAAGAGTTCTTAGTGATGGAGCTGACATCTTAAACTGATGCTGATTGGAAAACGGATAAATTCCTTTCAAACAGTGGCCTCAGGAACTCCTGCAAACTTCAGGATGAGGCACGTACAAGAACTGTAGCTGATAGATGAAAAGTCCATCTGACCTATGCTCGTGTCTAGGACAGCAACCCATAAATTGCTTGGGGAAGAGCTTACAGTAAAGCTCTCTGCTCCTGGCCTGCCATTCTCTAGCAATTTGTGCCTCAGGGTGCAGTCTCCTGAACCAGGAAGGCTTCAGCATCTGCTGATTTTCCTCTATCTTTTAATTGGCTTCCTGCAGGCCTCAGTACTAGTCTTCTGGCTCCAGTTCAGTTCAAGTTCCTTCTTCCAGTGCAGGCTCACCTTTTTTTCCAAAAACTCCCCCCATTCTTAAAGAGTCTAAATCCCTTCTTGCCTCGCCTCATCTCACCTCACCTCCAGGCTCTGCCTCCTTCTGACTCCGCCCTTGGCACAAAGAGTATGTCAGAGGAAGCTTTCATGAAAACTCTGGTCCCTTAACTCATTTCTGAGCATGTATTGACTTCTTGTTCCTCTTCTAAATGTGATAAATTTTGTTATGTCAGCAGAACTTAAGCTGAAGCACAGTCCTGAGGCTTATTCCGTAGCTTCTAACACCAGGCAGTGCACATTCCATCTGCATTTCTTTTCAGTAAGAATGGGCTCATGTTATGAGCACTATCCAGCTCTCCTCCTGTCTTTGCAGTGCACCAGTTCTGTAGAGATGAAATAAGCCATCTCGTGTGATGTGTGCCGATCCTTTACTAAAACTTTACTAAAGTTTCCTCCCTGTGTGTACAGAGAGAAGTCGCAGCTTGTGGCTGCATTGATAAGATTGTAGCGCTGGTTTCTTTAAAGAAGCATTTTGTTTCTGTATTACCAGCAGTGTCATACAGTGTTCCAGCTGTCTGCAGCATGCAGGGGGATGTAATCATAGTTTTAACAAAAACATTTTAACAATGGTCTGGTCTGCATGATTCTTGCATGTTTTTTCTCCCAGACAGCAGACCCTTTTGGGTGGAGAATTGGAATTGCATATGACTTACTATGTCAAACCTATGTTTTGATTGTCAGCTTTATAGATTCACATTAACAATAGTCTCAAATATCTTTTTATGTAGGTTCATTTCTAATAAGTATTTGGTGAAGCAGCAGAACAGAGACTATGATGTGGAGTGGGGATATGCCTTTGATGTGCATCTGAATGCTTTCTACCCACTTCTAGTAATTTTGCATTTTATCCAGCTGTTCTTCATCAACTGTAAGTAGAATACTTTGAGCTCTCTGCTTCAAAATGGTGCACTATCAAAACAGCTGAGAGCAGTTATCTCTTGCAGATGTCATCATATCTGACTCTGTCATTGGTTATTTTGTTGGGAATACATTATGGTTGATTGCCATCGGCTATTATATCTATGTGACATTCCTAGGATACAGTGGTGAGTGACTTCAATTTCTTTTGTACTCATTTGACTAAAAACAAGAGCATGTTTTCAGTCTATTAATTTGATCTTAGTCTATTAATTTGTAAAGCAGAGGCTCAGCTGGGTGTTGAAGTAATTCTTTCTTTGTGGTAAAAGAAGTTTGATAGAAATTTTCCAATCCAGATTTTCAGCTGAGTGTACATCTTAACCAGAGAATTTGTATTCTCCGCTTTACCAACTTCCCTTCTTGTATTAGACCTGTAGAACCACAACTTCGTTTCCTTGTTCCTCTATAAATCCACTTCAAGATGTTTGCATTAGATAAAAATTCTTTAATGAGTCTAAGGCCACAGTTTTTGGTAAAGCAGTTTCAAAAAGCATTATGTAGTAACAGTAGGACTAGTAGGGCAGAGATGCCCGAGGACGACAATAGAGCAGAACTATTTTTTCTTGCTGTCTTGCCCCAAGGCCACTCCACATGAAGCACCTTTTTTAAAGAGCACTACTTTATACTTGCTTCATTGTTGCTTCTGTTTCAGCATTGCCCTTTTTGAAGAACACAGCTATTCTTTTGTATCCCTTTGCACTTCTCATCGTGCTCTATTTGATCTCACTAGCATGTGGATGGAACTTCACCAAGATGCTTTGCTCCTTCTATAAATACA